GCCCGAAATCTGTTCAACGGATTCTCCACAGATTGGGTTATTGTTGCAGAGCAGCTAGAAGGAACCCCTTATTAAGACCTGCCAACATAGTCAGACGAAAGAAGTGGGCAAGTGATATGATGACTAGGCCTCTGGACTTCTGGAAGACCGTATTGTTCTCAGACGAATCAAGATTCGCTCAATTTTCGGACAGTGGAAGGATATGGGTCTGGAGAATGCCTCATCAAGAGTTTTGGCTTAACAGATTGCAGCCAACTGTGAAGCATGGTGGTTTCAGCGTGATGGTTTGGGGAGCTGTTTGGGTTGGTGGGAGATCGAGCTTAGTGGAGTGCGTTGCCAACGTAAATTTTGCGAAATACGTCGAAATATTGGAGGAAGGACTCTTGCCACTTTATTCCTCGGGTTTCGTGGGCAATAACACAACGTTGTTCCAGGAAGATGGAGCACCGTGTCACAGTGCTAGAAACACCCAAAAATGGCAGGAAGAAAATGGTATCCAGATGTTGCCCTGGCTGAGCCAATCTCCTGACATGAACCCCATCGAAAACCTCTTGGCCATACTCGACCGGCAAGTCAAGAAACAACCAAAAAAACCAACTTCGAAGAGCGATCTACTCCAAGTTTTGAAGCAAGGGTGGGCGAAAATCCCACAATCTAAAATTGACGAGGTGATTCTCACGATCCCCCAAAGGATCAACGAACTCCACGAAGCGAAAAGAAGATCTACTAGATATTAATTAAATTATAAATATATCAATTCATGTGAATATGACTGAAAAATTTCATTTTTTTCTGAAGAGGTGGTGCCTATTTACTTGTGACCACGCTGTGTACACACACACACACACACTACTGTTTCTGAATTGAATATAGATTGTTTACTTGTTTCTTCCACAAACTAATTACCTAGTAGTAAATATCTTGTTGAATTTTCTTTTAAAATACGGATCTATCTTATTCACTCTTGGGAGAGAGCAGTTTTACCTAATAATACCATACGATCACCATAGTGCAAGCACTCAAGCTTATTATATTTGGCGAAAAAGGATTAATCCCAATTATTAGTTCCAGTCAGTACTTGGCTTAGCATTAAGTGTTAGGTATTATAAGAACTGGGACTTAGAAACTAGTGGAAGAAAATCTATTTTTATATCCAATCTGTAGGCATTCTATTATGAATCAGTCATTTCAAACTTTTGATCAAAAGCTGTAAATATGTAGTCCAAATGCTTATAAGAGTTCTTCTAATACACTATAAAATAAATATTTTTACTGCCACTGAAACCTACGATAGATGTATATATATATACATATTATGAATTTTGCCAAAAACTCGGTAAATAAGAATATTCAGGGGATCAGTAAGTCCTAACTGAATATATTATAGTCAACTTGACTTCAAAATTAGGAAGGATGTTCTTGTTTGAATTTCCATTGGATAAACGTTAAACTAATCACTTAAAAACAAAACACGTGGTTTTATTGAAATAAGAAAACATCAGTCCTTGTGATATACTATCAATTCTCAGTTTTGACATTTAGAAATAAATTTTCTATAATACTGTTGATATAATTGTACAATGTTATAGAAACACATATATGGCAGAAAATATATTATCCCTATCTGGATCGCATGGGAGAAGTTGTTTCATCCTTGTATTTTTTCTCACACATAAAAACTAATTTCATGACGTTTGGTACAGCTTTACTTCATGACATGTAGTTTGTGCAAGGGTATTTTAATCAGATCTATGTGTGTGTGCGAGTAGTTAATCCTGCACCTGCGCGACACGTTGCTAGAGGGCGCCACTCGTGTGTCGATCTCAGGTATTGGGGAGACAATGATGTCACCAGAGAGGTTGACGTCATAGTTCCATGAAATGTCACCAGAGGGCGTATTTTAGGAACGTGTTGCTAGGCCTCCACGACAGGCGGACATGACGTCATAGTTCCACAAAGTGGAACCACAATCATGATGAGATCATCATACATGTCTCAATACATAAACAATGGCTAGGTTTAATTATGATCTACAGT